CCTCGATTTTGATCGAATAAATTGCAGGCCCCAGCTGGCCAAGAGTTTTAATCAGGCTTGAGGTGGTGCAGCTTTGCACAGAACAGGCAGCTACGGCAAGGCTGGGCTTGGTCACGTGGGGATACCATGCAGGCCCGAGAAGTTTCTCGGAGCCCTGATGGGGCAACTGTGCACAGACTATGACAATCCCTAAATAAATGACTAGGAGAATTTTACACCACTTTTAATTTCTTAATGCAATTATTACCTATAACCAATAAAGCAAGAAAAAGAGAGATTAGAAAGTTAGTGTAAAAAAGGTAGCGGGGTGAATTTGAAGGTGCCTCATATACATTTCACAGAATTGAGTCTACAGGGCAGTGATGCACCATTTGTTTTGGGAATTTCTGAAGCCTACATTATACATTTAATTTGAGGAGACTCTTTTCACACCTCCCTTTCCTACAAGTAGTAGGTCTACGTATTTATATATTAAGAAAAATAAGATAAATGTTGGTTGAGGTATTTTATGAGGCACCTCGTAACAACTAAAGACACCCTTGAGTTTATAACCTTCCCAAGGCTGAAATCACTTGTGAAATCCTTTCTTCTTCCCTCCCTGATTTACTACCTCTTCTTCTCTTTCATCTTCCCACCCGCTCACTCAGCATGTATTTGTGAAATCTATAATCTCCAGGAGAAAATGCTCAGTAACTAGAGTCCTGCTCTTAGTTAACTCAAGTTCAGTGTGGAGACAAATCACACCAACAATAACAGCAGTGCTGATAAGAACAACAACAATAACTACTACTACCACTCATAATAATCCAGAACAATCTGTAAGAGCATATGCCCAAGGTCCCATGAGCAGGAACATAAGCTGAGACTTGGAGCAGCCACAGGGGCCCAGAGGGCAAACAGATATGGGCTGTGCCACTGTACCCACAAGAGCCGACTGTGTTCCAGAATCACACTTAGCCTCAGTGGGCCTGTGAAGTGGAGGAAACTGGTCCAGTCACAAGGGGTGCATGCCATGCCTAGGAACTTGTTCTTTACCCCCCCAAAGCAAAGAGAAGCATGTAAAGGAACCACAGTCATATGACCTAGTTAGTGTCCGTGAGGGAAGGGTGGGGAGGAGAACAATGAAAACAGCAGTAAAATCAGAGAGGGACTATGATGTACAGATGAACTAGGCGTGTGTGTATTTACTATTTTCCTCAAAATATGGATGTTAGCTAGGTCCCTTTTAAGAAAATTCTTGAAATGAAATAACTATAGTACATAGAAACCTCTTCCTGTATTGTAATCACAAAGTAACTCATCCTGTCCAAAACAAAGAAATTGGAAATTCCACTAGCCCTTGCATTTCCATGTACGTATTCTTTCTTCAACAGTCCTTCATAGGATTGGTACTGAAGTAGGAACAGTCAGGACCTGACTTTTTATATCTTTTCTATTCTCACATCTAAAAATCCCTGCCTATAGTGAAAGCTTACTTAAATCTGAGCGCATAATTCTTGCTGTAGCTTGGGTTCATATTTTCACCTATTTTCAGTAGGGAACTCTTGACTCTTACCCTCTATAGAACTGAGGAATGCAATTTCATCTTTCAGCTTGCACTGTTCTGGGCTTTTCCCAATTCTCAAGCATTTTTTCTTTTTGAGATATTACCTTCCAATCTCATACTATAGGCATCTGCCATCTAGACTTGTCAAGTTCTTTGTGAAATATCTAACGCAAAGCAAAGCAGTGGAGGTCAAGAGAAAAGTAGCGTCAAACATTCAGAGTGCTACACAGAAATGAAGCTACATGCTCTTAAGACTTCATGACCATGTCCAGATTCCTGGCAGTCTGGGAGAGAGAACCAGGAAACCTAGTGTGGACCTTCCATTCTTTAATTTCTACGCTTTTCCACCACTCCAGGACCAACTAGTGGTGCATAATTTGATTGATTACTGTCTTAGCTTAAATAAAGGCAAGGAGTGGAATACACTGAGCCAACTCAGCTCTGCATGGTCCAGCGCATGATGCCTTAGCTCCTCACTGGAGTCTGCAGAGCCAGAGCGATGCTGTGGTTGGGATTTGGGTCCCCTGATAGAGTGATCCCCTAAGGGGGGTCCAGGACAGACTCATCTCAGTCCCAAATCTCACTCTGTAGCATTTTAGGAAGTTTCCAGTGTTTCTATGTCAGAAGTTACCGATCCAGAGAGAGAAATATGAGAAGTCAAATGGAAGATTAGCTGACCTAGGAGAGGAAGAGGGGACCATTCTTGAGTTCCAAGGCTGCTTTTCATCTGTTGACTACCTGGACCAGTGGTTCAGAGGTGCTCAGTTTCCTCTAGTGTAAAGAGAAGGCCACAATATTCTGTTTCAAGGATTACTGGAGACATTTAGAAATAGCACACGCATCGTGTTTATATGCCAGGAATATAAACAGAAGATGTTGTCATAATTTTTCAAATTTCTTTCCTTATTAATCTGATCTAATAATACTTAGAAATGACTGTTAATTTGTTAATGAAAACAGTGTTAAGTGCTTCTTAGCTACAATGAGCGAGCGGCATTTTGCTGGCAGTTGAGAATTTGGTGTGTGAGAAGGGAACCCTTGGGAAAAGTATGCCAAGAAAAGCCAATTAGGTCAACACGGCCAGGCTCTGGTTACCTGTTATAAGGCGTGGAAAAGGTTGCCAGGACAACATCACGGCCGTTAATACGAATCACGTCGGTAACCGCCTGCAGGATGTTGAAGTAGAAATGAGAGTCTCCGGGTACGGAGCAGTTGAGGCGCGCCTTGAGAAAGGATGTCCACTGCTTCTCCAGGACTCTCTGCGAGCCGCCCATGTCGTTCTTGCAAACCTGAGCCACTCTGGGGAAGACGACCTGCAGAGGGACAACACCCAGGGAAAATGAGATGCATTCTGATTTCCAGGAGATCGTAGCAGAATTTGTCTTTCTTTGAAAATAGAAGCAGAACAACAAGGTGCTTAATTTAATCCGGTGTTTCTAAAATCAGTAGCAAAAAAAGAGGCGGGGTTGGGGGGGTTGGTGCAGAGAGGAACTCAGCCTTGCAACAGCGTGTTTTAAAAGATAAGGCTGTGGCATTTAATCCAGAGCCATAAATCCTTCAGGGGATCCGCTCCCAGCCACATAAACTCATTTCCATACAGACTGCTTAGCTTTTTATTTCCTCAAACAAAAGCACACTTTGTATGCGCCTCGCTGCCATCCTCGAGAACTGCCTCTGGGCCCTGCATCTCATATTCTGAATTCCTCTGATGGTGCGAGCCACCCCAATACTGAATCTGTGCCCTCGACTTAGTGACCTTGATCTACTCGCTGGTAGACATAAGGAAATGGACATCTACTAAGTGTTCTATGGCTTCTTGCAATAAAGACAAAAATTCGGAATTCCGTTTGTGCAAAGCTACTGGGTATTTATTGTCTCTGGTGGGGGGACCATATTCAAAAGAAAACCTCTTGAATGTATCTGGAAACCATATCTCAAGAGAACACAAACACTCGGTATGAAATCAACCACCCATCTGTCAATTAAATTCTCAACAGAAATACTTCAGAGGGAGTGTTAGAAGAATGCATACAGGACTGTGAGGCCCACCCATCTGAGGCTGAATCTGCTCACAGTGCTGACTCGTGATTAGATACCTGGTGCTCATTTCAAGATCACGCACAGCAACAAGAGTCTAGAGCGAACGGGGGGCCCTTCTTACCTTCCCCATGGTGTTATACTCCACCGCTATTTCCCTGAAGAAGAAGTAGATGTAGTTGCCATAGTCCACTGCTTGTACGAAATACGGCTCTGTGGACAGACGGGCACGTTAATTGGTGACATGTCACACAGAGTTAAAGGAACTTCAATCAGTTGCGACCCAAGACATGTTATTAATTAAAAATGTAGGGCCATTAGACATTTGCTTAACACTAACCATTTCTAATGACTTCACACAGGCAAGTACTGGTGATTTCAGAGAGCATTCAAGCCTACAAATTATATCTTTCAGAAGCAGTTGCAATTAACAATGGAGAATAAATGAGTTTCGCATCTCCTGTAATTTTATTTTCCACAACGGAATGCACATATTACAGAAAGGATTTTGTACACATCTCCTTGTCAACCCTGACTCAGAGAAGGTTGTGAATAGCTGCCTTTTTTTTTTTTCCTTACTGTTCCCCACCACCTCCACTCCCCCGATTCCTTTCATGAATGAAATGTTCAATTCTCTTTATGTGGGACTCTGAACGAGAGTTTAAGGCAGAGAAAGATGAATATAATGTACCCTGTTGTACTAGCGGTGGTAGTTTTGTTCATTCTGTAGAAACTCACTGGAAGTGAAAAAGGAAGGCAAATAAATCAGTTGAGGCAAAAGATGCAATTTCCACCTTCCTGTCTGCCAGAAGCTATTACTAAAAAATGAAACTATAGTCCGATTTGCCAAAATCTCCTTCAAGGTATGCTCCCCTCCCCCACATTTTCTCTGTTAATTGTTTGTTCACCTTTCAGCCATTTTGAATCATGCTTGACAGTCCGTAGGGTTGGGCTGTCTCCAAGACTCCGATAAATGACAGCATCGATAGCAAGGAAGTCAGTCACTGTGGCCGAGTACAGTTTTCCATCTTAGAAGAAAACAGAGAAGAGGCGAATGGGCTGGGAGCAAGATGGTGGGATAATAAAGACACCCCCCAGATTGCTTCCCTGCATCAGGCAAATAAGATAGGACAAGTGGGGAAAAATCCAAGAGTCACTGGGAAAATACTTGGCCCACATTTCTAACCATTTTAAATTGGGATCACGAGAGATGAAACATTTTTCATTTTTAAATTGCATGGCAATTTCTAAGCAGCAGCAGCTCAGGGAACAGGGTAAGTGAAAATGGTGTGCGCTTCACTTGATTAGATGGACCTTGACTGAGACCTCAAGGCCAGGGTCCCTTGGACACGGCTACTGCCACCACACCGTGGTAAAGTGGATTAGGTGGGAGCCTGTGGAAAGATAGATGCTGATCGTATCACCAGAAATTTTAAGTATAAGCAGAAGAAATGGAGTCTTCAGCCCGAACAGGTGAGAAGAGGGGGAGGAAGAGGGGAATCCTTAGCAAAAAAAAAGCTGGTGAAATTGCTACATATACCCAAGAATCAGTCACTCATGAGAGCCACTAAGCCATGCCAATCTACCTTAAATAAAGAGACGTTTGCTCCAGTGCTTCCAAAGTCATGAACTGAAAGCATTCTTGATAAACGAGATGCTGACACAGAAATAAGGGGAAGGAGGATGCCGGGTTCAAACTGGGTGTGTTTTGGGGGACATGCTTGAGGGTACAGCCAAGGCAGAAGAGAACAAAGAGAATTAAGGATTCATCCTTTCAGTTCATTTCCTGCACAACAAAAATCTGCACAGAAAAAAACAAAGGGGAATGTTCTAGAATAGTGAAATCTATGCAGATGACACCAAAACAATCATTATATTCAGAGTAAAAAATGACTTCCTTGGGTCATTTATAATGGTTACACATCTTCATTATCTGTGCATCAAAGTGATTTACACACATCGTTTAAGCTCTTCCCCTTGTGTGTGACATAATCATGTTCTTTTTTCCCCAAGAAGCTTTTCCAGACATATGGAAGCAAAGTTCTTGATGTCTACTTTTGGTCTTAGGATCACTGGAATTTACTCAGGCCCAAGTTAGAGCAGGTTGATATCTGCAGCCAGAGATAAGTTAAGTGTTGACTGTGTTGATTAGATTTAAACTGCGGGCAGTAAGCCTTTCTGTGTGTATGTGTGCATGCCTATGTCACCTGCTCCTCGCCAGTACTTTTTGTTTTACATCCAGCGTTGGTTTCCTCACAAGAACTTCTGTTTGTAAAACAGGGCACTATTTTGCCACTTTTGCTAATATGACAACTATTCAATATGGCAAGTATCTTCTATAAATAAGGACTGAGCTTTTATGAGATTTCAAACATGCCAAAGAAAAACTACTGAAATACACCACGGAAGGGGGGCCTCAGGGCAGGCACCGCATCAACTCGTGTGCCTTGATCTGCATAGCTTCTGGAAGGTTGGCGCCCTTAGGAAATACTTGTCCCTGTACCTCAGGCTACAAGTCCTCCTTTGAGTTTACGGTGCAATTTAAATTCACCACTGCAGCCCACATCCTCGAGGGAACCAACCGATGCAGGTTCAAGTGTCAGAACAGTGCGCTGGTGGAAGTTACGCACTTGAGAATATATTCACAAGTACTCTTCCTACTGGCCTCGCTCCTGCTCTTGCTGACTAAGAGGCTTCCGAGACTGTTTCTTACAATGCTCTTTCCCAGTAACACCGTGTTCTCCATTCCAGGGAGGACCCACGTAGCCTTTTCTTTTTAACTCGCTTACAAGCCTCTTCTCCAATCTGTGGCTACATATTCAGGTTCACAGATGGATGATACATGTTGAGTGCAAAGCAGTTTGAGGAGCTAATCTTGTTTCATCATCAAAGCCCTAGTGTTCCTCATCTAGCTAGGATGTACCAGTTTTTAGCTGTTGCGATGGCATTTTAGCTAACTGCTTTATTATATGCTATAGCAATCACTATTATACCAGCACTTCTGCCTCCACCCACCTCCACATACACAGCTGGCAATGAATTCCTAAATAACTTCCTAATTAAAACACGCACACACTTGAAAATGATGGCTTACTTGCTGCTTGCTGTGTTTTATCCTTTGCGGTGGAAGAAAGGGCGGGAAGGGAAGGGGGCGTGTGGGTAAAATTGATCAGCATCATCCCTCAGTTACTGCAGTCATTCTATCAGAGACAGGCATGTCACCTAATTAGGTCAGTGATACTGATGACGGTTTGTTGCAAATCTGTGGATATGTGGCCTCACTGCTCTCAGAGCTTCTAGAAGCTTCCTTTGGTGTCTTCCCTTTTGCCTTCTGTGTGTGGGGAGGTAAACATAGCTGTGCTTGGGGCAGGCAGCCATCCTGTGACTGTGAAGTAGCAAATCCCACTAGCAGAACAAAGTGAAAGAGCAGAGTCGCGACAAGGAACTCATCCTGGATAGTCTGCTGAACCAGACTAACCTAAAAGTCTACCCCACATTAAGTACAAAACCCACATTGCTGGTTTGAGGTAGATTTTCTGTTATTTGAGCCCAGACATGGCCTCACACTGGTAGGTCACAAATTCAAGTACAAAGCTGTGATCCATTTGGAAGTCACAGATGCATGGGTAAGCGTGGCAAAGACTGCTTTTAAGAAGCAAAAGTACACTTTCTATACTAACCTCAAATGGAAAAGACATTCTTAATTACAGTATTCACCAGAGACTCCAAGTAGAACTGTGACTCTGCGAATTCTCCAGAGCAGTTCCGCAGTGACAGACTAAGCACGCAAAGCAAATGCAACCAGGAGAAATCAGGTCATTTACCTGCAAACAGTGCAACGTTGGCATGTTTGGCATCATACGGGCATCTGGCCATTCCACTAAATTCATCCCCAAAAGGTTCCAAAGTATCCATCTAAATGAAATAATAGCACTTAATTAGGAACAACCATCACCAACATTAGTAACAGCAACTAATATTTGTAAAGAGCTTCACATGCTTAAGCAAGTCCAATGCGAGTAATCCTCTAATTCTCTTGAGATTAAACATATTGGTTTCAAATGAGGAAATTGGAGGTCTAGAGAGAGTGAGTCACTTGACCAGGGTTCTACAGCTCAGTGTCTGAATTCAGTCATGTCTGATTGATTTTGCGCCATTCCAGTAATTAGATTCCCCTAGCCTTTGGAATGATCTAGAATTAAGCATCTTGGAAAAGGAATTTCTGAGGCAATCATGGCGAAAACTTACTTCTCTTCCTCCATCACTCCCTCCTGAATTACCTGTTGAGTCATAAACCCTATAGAGAATGACTTCAGGTTTTGGTTTTGTTTTGCCTGAGGAGTTCTGTCATTGTGGGTTAAATCCCAGAAGAAGACACTGGAATTTTTCCTGGGGTTAGCTGGCAGAACAGTATGGCATCAACTGCCAGCTCTCAAGTGGCCTTTTGCACTTCAGAAATGTGTTGGAGTCTCTCATGGTATGGATGAGAAAGAGGCGCTGAGAAGCTGAGGTGCACACACAGGTCAGAGGTAGCGAGGCATGGGGCTGCTATTGGACATCCACCTATTGGTGCTTACCCCAGGCCTCATTTTTGTATGTTAGAGGTTATAAGTCAGTTTTATTTGGCCATCACACCGTATTAAAACAAAAAGAAAGAAACTAATGCTGGTTTCAGTGGGAAGACTGTTCATGAAAACTTGGATTTCTTGCTTCTTCTGAATTGAAAGTCAACTCAGTCCTTCTTGCCTGAGTGGCAGTGGCGAGCTGCAGCTGAGGAAATGAGCCCCAGCACCAGGCTCCTTTCACCCACTGGACATAGCTAAGCCCTGCTTGCTTTGCTCCCAAAAGTTGTCTGCCTGACCTCATAGGCATAATGGGTGGGGCAAAGCCTTGTTAGCTATTCAGACTTCTACTTCCCTTTCCTCCACATCACACTAAGCTCCACCTCCCGTCTTCCCTTGCAGTCAGGTGTGACCCCATGACTAATCTCAGCCAGTGGAATGTGAGGCTAAGGCCAGGCACTACCTTAACATTGTGCAAGTATCTTTCAAGAGTTGCCTCTCTTTCTACTTTCCCTTCCTAGATACAGAAAACCCAGTAGAGAATTGCAAGACTAGTCATAGAGAGGGTAGAGGCATGACCAGGTGGGACTGTGTCATCCCAAGCAACACAACCCGACACTGACCCACTCTCACTGTTATGGGTCTATTGAGAATGACCCACCACAGTCAGAGGTCAACCTGTCTGTGAGAGACAGCAGGCCCCCCCATTGATGTTGTTTTGTTGAATGCTGGTTCCTTACAATGTGATGAGGAAAAACAAAATCCCAGGCGATGTTGAATGAAACATCATTCTAGGATGGACTTCCTGAACCTTTTTGCTTCAAGTCTTTGTTCCAAGAAGCTACTGACCCTGCCGAGGGAGGACTCACTCTCCTGTTGCCTTCTTTCCTTCCTTACACCACGGGACTCCACAGCATGTAAAATCACAGCTCCTTGAGTCTGTACCTGATCTGTGCATCATTCATGTTTATACAGTCCTCTGTGGTTCGATCTTCTTTATAGTTTAAGGGTATTTTGTTTACCACTTGGCAGCTACACAGTTTGGCTAGAGATCTGAGAACTGGTACTGAGGCTGGACAGAAAGGTCTTTAGTACTAAATTTAAGGTGCCTTAAGTAATGGTGCTTTGGGTCATCACCCAGGAGGAAGGAGCAAGGGTCTGTCTGGACAGTTGCGTCGTCCAGTTCTGTTGTTCTGAACTCCCAGAGATCATTTTTTTCAGGGATATGACTGTCCCTTTTCTGACTGCGCTCGATTTGATATGGTTCCCCTGGAAGCCACTTATTTGTTTAAACTGTCAGTGAGAGTCATATAAAGCTATTGCATTAAAAACATTTGTAGGCAAAGATGTGCGAGTCAGATATCCTTAAAGCAAATGTACTCTTTCAGCCACATTTGTATGAAAAGCCTTTTTCTGATATTTTATCCCAACAAAGAGCTTCCCGTTGAAATGTGACTGACTTTGTGCTCTGCGGGGCAGGCAAAAATTTGGAAGTGATCTTAGGATGCAGCAAAGCAAAGTAGGTACCCTTATCCCAACCAAGGTGGTCTGTGGTCCTGGCAGTGGGGATCTGTATTTTTAAATGCACCTGCTTCTCAAAAGTGGCCACATTCGTGGCTCGTCCAAGGCAGGAAGGAGTGAAGAATGAAAGCAGGGGTTTGTGAGTCTGGAGAGGTCCAAGGACAAAACAGGGCCCAGGTGAACCCCACCTTCCATGAAGTTGGAACTAATCCGTGTTAGTCATCGAATCTCAGACTTTAACAGCAGCCTCCAGGGAGTTAACTCACTACAGAGTGCAGATAATTATACAACGAATCGGTGTGATTTTTGCAGAAGGTCAAGAGGTAACAGGAAGGAAAAGGTAAAGGAAAGGAATACAGCTTGAGATTCACAATGGGTCGCCTACAGAATCCTTCACCAGATCATCTTTAGCACATTTACCTACTTCTATTAGAAAAGGTGCATAAATTAGGGCTCGAGGCAGAAGGAAGAGATTGAAAATTTGTCCCTGTTCTGCTCAAGCTGGTCTCATCAACTTGCTGCTTCTTGGACTGTGACACTTGAGCTTTTCAATGGAAGGTGGATCTTGGGTTTTGCTTGGAACCTTTGGTCCTGATCCCGGAAACAGAGTCCTTAACAGAGAGGCAGTCCATCCCCCCTGCGGTCATGTACACCATGTCCTGTATCTTACAGTCAGGTCATATAGATGGGGACTGCGTGGGAAGAATCTGTCTGTGGTTTCCGAGAGGCCTGGGCTTCTGGAACGTGTCTCAGCAGGTATGGCTAAAACAAGCAACAGGTCTCACTACAGGTGAGGCGTCTGGGGACTGGAACACAGGCAGCCACAACAGGCTGCCTGTGTATCGCCTTGCCAAGGAAACCTGCAGTTTGTCATAAAAGATAGCTTTCCGGCTAGGGGATTCCTTGCGATGTGTTAGAAGCATTCATCTTAGTAAGTCCAAACAGTACCAAACAGGGGTGGAATGTTAAGTGGGAGAACTGAAGTCGGAACCTCAACGAATGCTGTGACTGGCGAACATGAGCATTGGATCGGCCTGGCTGCCTTGGTCAGGAATGAAGGCTTCCGTGTAACTTCAGTATTTGACGACAGGATTTTTTGGCATTCATTTGGATCTTTAAAAATACGATTTCAAGGCCCTCCCTGGTGGCGCAGCGGGTTAAAGCACAGCAGTAAGAAGTTTAAGCCACTTCTGCATGAGTTCGATCCCCGCCTGCCCAGGAGGTGACCACATGGCGCGGCAGACCTCTCCTGACCCGCCCGCTGCTCCCCTCATTGGTGTACTTCCTTGATCTGCCTGTTCTGCTCCCTACTTTGTCTCTGGTGAAGCCTCTCACCGCCCCTAAGCTTCTGACCTGTACCCCAGTTCTGTATAAATAAATAAATACAATCTTTAAAAAAAAATACAATTTCAAAAATGACATTTATCTTGACTACTGAGATCTGGGGGTGGCCCCTTACAGCGGGAGTTGGAGACATGCACCTCCCTTGGCCCACCCTAGTCCGGTGCTGCTGGGAGTTCCCAAGTGGAAGACAGAAGGTGAGCCCGAGACTCCAGGACGCGCCTCTCCGTCAGTGACAGGCAGAGTCTTTTCAGACTGTCACACCAAAGACTCACTCTGGTATGGGCCCATCTTTACTTTCCTCGGACTTGGCACTTCACAAGAAGGTGAGGGATGCCCCAGTTCATGCTGCTGGAACCCATATCTGCACTCCCCCTCCATCAGGAGGCCTGCTCTTCCGTCTTCCTGTCGACTTCTCTGTGCGTGTGCCAGAGACACCACCGTTGCCCGCGGCCAGTCACACTCAGTGTGCCCCCGCCCCCGGCCCCAGCCTTCCTCCCACACTCCAGCTCAGTGGTGATGGCCCGCCGCTCATCCTAACCCCTCCCTCTCCTCATCCTGCTGGCTTATCTCCACTTAAGTATTTCCTGAATCTTCTCTCTTCCCTTCGTCTCTGGGGCCACCTTTCTCTCCAGACTCATTTTTATTATCACTTTGCGCTTTACAGTCCAGTACTTGAGAACCAAATGGAGCTTCTCCAGCTCTGTACGTGGTATGTTTTACTCAGTGCCTTCATTCATGCGGTCCCCCTGCCTGAAATCCCTTCTTGCTTAATTTGGCTAGCTGCTGCTTCCTGACCAAGGAAGGCTTTATCTCATCTGCTATAGACCCCAGAAATCCAATGGAGGACCTCTCTGGGAGCAGAACCTCTCAGGTTCTGGACAATCTGGGGTTCAGGGTTGGGGGTGAAGATGTTCCCTGTGTAAGGAGTGGCTGGGAATGCCAGCGAGAGAGGCTGTCTCCCACTCCAGCAAGCTTCTCCTGATGCTTCGTCTCAGGCTAAGTTCCCTGTTGCGCTTTCATAATGCTTTGCGTATGTCGGCATGGCAGCCACCGTGGACTTCTTCTCCCTCTCTGGCTCCCCCAAAGATGAAGGCCTCCTGTTTGTCTTCAAACCCCAAAGCCTGGTGTTGAGAGAAATGTGGTCTGTGTTTGCTGAATCAGACTGTGGCCAAGAGGAGGGGTGAAGAAAGCTAACGTCTGTGGAGCCTGGAGCTCGCATGAGCTCACATCACAGCCTCTGCGGCAACGCCTCTGTTGCCTGTCGCTTCCTGGCGACTAACCAGCTGCACCACCTCTTTGGCCACCTGCCTGCAGGCCACAGCAAGTAAGGCCATGGACAAATAAGCTCAGTGCTAGATGAAATGAAATTCCTTTGCTCTTCAAAACCTCACCTAGGGCAAAATACAGTTTCCGACGGAATGCTTTTGAGATACCTTCCAAATAGGAATCATGTAGGCTATAGGTGTGTTTCTGTGCTCAGAGAGGAGTGGTAGGGTAGGAGAGAGGGAGAAACAGTGAGGGAATCCACAAGACACAGTGTGAGGCATGTTGGGATTCTGAACAGTAAGGGACAGGATGTTGGAGAAATGACCTTGACAGGGTAGGCTCTTTAAAGATCTGTCAGCCAATCCTGGACCATCAGGAAGCTCAGGAGCCTGCTCAGGATGGCTCACGTGGGACACGCGAGAGGAACCGGGTGGCGTCTGAGCAGGCCTCTTAGGCTATGGCAGGCACAGTCACAGCAAATCATGAAATACCTCCTGGCTGGGTGGTTCCGGCAGGCAGGACGGTGCTTACCTTATAGTTTCTGCAGGAGGGGTTAAAGGCATTAGTGCCGCAGACAAACAAGGTATCGTCGCTTTTCTTTAGAAGAACTTTAATAAAGTTGTGACACTCGTCCTGGAAAATAAGTCAGACTCGTTGGTATCCAGCCCACTTGATGCAGAAGCCCCTGCTTGCCCATCTACCACGACCAGCTGACAGCGAGATCCAGGCTGTGGCTGTGTCTGCCCGCTCAAAGTTCAGGCTCCTCCTGATACTAACCAGAAGATGATGTTGACAAGAACAATTGCTTTTGGAGCAGTAAATGAAAGCACGGCATAGCGAGGAAGGCTCTGTGTTTATGTCACAGAAGGAAGGCAGACCTGGGAGAGCCAACCTCCCATCATATTAATGTTAATGCCAGATGCTCCAGGGTCCCCTGATGTAAAAGGCTCCTGGCTGAAGTGTGTTTTCGTGTTGTTCAGGCTCAGCCCTCTGTGTGCCTGATGCAGCCTTAACTGAGCGCTCCCACAGACCCCCCCCCCCGAGTGCACTCAGAAGATGGGAGGGGGGGCGCGAATGGGGGAGAGACTCGGGGGGGGGGGTGCTACCAGCTTGGTGTCCATAATCCCCAGTATCCCTAAGGAGTTCACCACGACAGCTCTGGCAGCTGTCGTAATGTTTCATCACATTAAAAGCAAACTATTTTTTGCAAATTAAAGCCCTCAATAAGTTGATGGAAAAAGCAATTACTGGGGAAAAGGGACTAACACAAACCATTCCACAGCACGGTCTACAGCGAGAGATAACGGCCCAATAACGGCCCAAAACTTAACCAAAAGTGGCAGCTGCAGGAAAAATGAAAATTGCCTACCTTATGTTTTCCCTTCATTCTGCACGTGTCAACATCAGCCTGTCTAGATTTCCATGTCAGTTTCTGCAGGGATCAAGAAAGAAATCAATGAGAGTCCAGAGGTTGTTGCATTTGATTTGAGAAATAAGAGTTCCCTTGGGGAGAGTAGAGGCTGGCCATATATTTATTGAAAGCTTTCCGCACCCTTTCTCCATGATTAATTCACCATAACAACAGAAGATAAGAGATGGAAATGTTCATTTAATTTTGAATGCCTATCTATTCATTAAACTACAAAAACGACTTTTTTTCTCTTTGAGATAAAGATGGAGGAGGAAGGAAAGAAGAATAAACAACAGTGTGGAAATTTCACACGAAGTATCCAAATTGGCTGGTGAGATTATGCTCATTTTAATAAAAAGCATGTCTTTGGCCTTGCCTTTCATTTGATGAATCAACTTTCATAAAGCGGTCTTTTTCCTTAAAATATGGAAGTCATTTTCTTCAACATAAAGGAGACATTCACTGGAGGTGGACAAAGATTTAATTCAGGTTGGGCTCCTTCACGTAAATTCAGGGACTGAAGGGATTGTCCGCTTTGGTGGCAGATTTTATGAAAATACCTCCATGTGGAGTTATAAAAGAAGCTTAGGTTATATTTTATGTGTGCTTGAAAAGGATAATGATCAAATTCCTGAAGCTCAACAGTCAAATCAAACTTAATACTGTAAGACCTGGAAACATAACAATGAAACATTTCTGGGAGCAACTTTTACATGGGAAAATTGATATTTTTTTGGACAGGACAAATATGGTAATATTTTATTATAGGAATTTAAAGAATGATTTAAAATTCTAAAGCATGTATGCACACATGTTCAATGAATAAAATATGAAGTTCCTAACTGTGAACATGAATTAAGCCCCAATTTATTCCCAAATTAGGATTCTACAAAATATCCAAAATCATTTTTCGCCATGCCATCTCTACCAATGCATTTAAAATACACAACCTCTTCAGTGGCTACTCCAAATTCTTTAATTTCAGGGTTTAAAGTTACTTACTTTGCTACAATAAATTTCTTCTGTATGTGATGTGTCTATATCAACAGTATAAATATGGTCCCTGTAAAAAAAAAGTAACACAGTGTCAAACACAAGAGTCAAGATAGTTCATTTTCTCCTAAATGAGAATGTTTGATTCAAGGCAGATAAATCCACATCATGCTACTGAAAAACTGGACTTCTATGTCTGGGGATGAACTCATTTGCAACAGATGCTTCTAGATCACATTGGGCACCTTCTGATACGAGGTGCTCAACTTATTTTTTGGGTGGGGTGGTGAAGGGACACTTTTAGTGGTACAGTCCACAGTCTCTTTACTGCCAGATCGTAACATCTACATATATATATATATATATATATATATATATATATATATATATATATATATATATAGCTCAAGGGAGAGGACTCTGGAAGTTCATTTGGCTCCCAAATCAGGATGCATATGGGTTCACCTGCCGCTTCAATATCTTCAAATCCACGTTCCAAACACTTGTTATTCAACATGCCACATTTGTTCATCAAGAGGGCCCAGAAAAAAGCAAATCTATCTCCATCTCTCTTTGGAAAACATATTTTCAGCCTCAGCTTTGATGATTTGATTGACACGATGGAAGATGAGAAAGGTAAAATTATTTCCAGAAGCCACTCTTTCCTTCACATGATGATGGTCAATTAAGGTCTAAAATGTACATGAGCTAAATAACGTTTACATTTCTTGCTTCTGTTCACCTCCCCGTTTTGCTGAGAATTCGGTTGCCTTTACAATTTGCTGCCAATCTCCCCCTGGAAGGGGAGAAACAGAATCAGCAGCTCAGGTGTGGAACTATATTTAAACATCCCCTTCTGTGTGAGCTGAGTACAAGGGCGTTTTTGTCTGGAATTCAGAAGAAAGAAAAGAAAAGAAGTACGCTCAACTGGAGGGACATGGGGGCTAGAAAGGGAAAGCAAAACAGCTCATTTTCCCTTGAAATAACATTGACTTTTTCTAAAATGCAGGAAGTCCTGGGGCTGGAAATTATCCACAGCTTTAACTCAGGACCTCAAGGCTCCTGTGCAGGCTTTCAAGCCCCCTCATCGCTTAAAAGAAAGTGTAGGGGTAGGGAGGGAAAAGAAAGGAAAAAACAGAAGAAAGAAAGGCATTATCTGCTGTCAGGATTCACTTCAATTTTTCTCTCCAGTTCTTTGGAAATCTGTTTGCTGTTGCTTTTAGGGAAAGTACAGCAGGGGGAAACAAAACAAAACAGGCTGTTTCGTGAAAATAAAAAGAATGGGTGAGGCCGTTGGCTTACATGATTCCTTTGCCTGCTACTGAACTGCGTGTGCACGCAGGCAGGAGTGCTGTGTGCGTGTGTGCACGCGTGTGTGCGTGCGTGTCAGGGTGGCAAGGGGGAGAAAGTGGAACTCACTCAGTGGGGAAGTTCTTCCCCCTCTGGCAGATGCCAGAACACTGCTCTTTCATTTCAAGGCAGTTTTATTGCGTTCATTTATTACTTGTTTGACTTTATTGGCGGTGCTGTGGGTCAGGCTCATTATCGGAATGGAATTGCCTATTACTTTGGTATGGGGTGAGAACAACTCCAAGTTGTCCCTTGCCCTGCTTCCCCTCAAAATTTTAAGTAGGCACTGAATGTATGAATTGTAAATTAACAGCTGATTAATATGCATCAGCAGCTCCAGGCCTCTTGGATTGCCCCCTTCTGGCAAGGCCTGTTTATGTTAATTAGCAGTTTAGAGATTAAACAAGAAAGAGAGAGAGAGAGAGAAGAATTTACAAAATGGATAATAATAAAGCTGAATTGAAAGGGGTTCTTGACATCGAGCGCACTCAATCCCACAGTTCTAGATGGGTTGCAGTTGGCTTCCAATGGCTGACATAGACAGAAAGAGCTGAGAAACCCTTTAAACATGGAATGCTGTGACCAAAATCTCTCTTTGGACAACGGTCATCTTTTTCACTTAACCAGATCACTTCCCTCAGTAAACAGAAACAGTGCTCCCCACTAAACCACACTCCAGGGCCGGGGGTGATTCCCAGTCACCCGCAGTACACCCCAGGATCCATGTGCTGCTCTTACTGAATTAAGTTATTTGAACACAAACTGACTTAATCCTCCGGTTTCCTCCCTCCGCCTCAGTGGGTGCCACTTAATTGTGTTAGCATGGCTGAAGCCTGGGGGACGATTTAACTTTAAATCGTGTTATTTGGTGTTACTTGCTGCCCTGGGAACCTGGGTCTCTCAGGGGAATGCTGGGAAGTGTGGGATGGAAAGGGCAGGAGAGTCCTGGAGTGAGGTGGCAGTTCATGAGGATTGCTTCCAAGCTTGTGTGTGGAAGGGAAGAAGGGAAGTGGCGGACCATAGCCTGAAGAATCTCTCACTACTCAGGTGTTCATTACAAACTAGATTTTTTTTTAAAAAAAAAAAAGATTGGTTTATTTATGCAAACAGAACTGAGGGACAGGCCAGAGGTGCAGGGGTGGTGAGAGGATTCGCCAGAGACAGTGTGGGGAGCAGAACAGACAGGCCGACAAAGTACACTGCTGAGGGGAGCAGCGGGCGGGTCAGGAGAGGTCTGCCACGCCATGTGGGTCACCTCCGGGGCAGGCGGGGATCGAACTCATGCAGAAGTGGCTTTAGCTTCTTAGTGCTGTGCTTTAACCTGCTGCGCCACCAGGGAGGGACCACAAACTAGACTTTTAAAGAAAGACAAGTGTGTTCTATAGTTTTAAAAAGCTGAATGCCTTTCTCCTTTCCTTCCCTCCAATTTCTTTCTTTTTTAGGGTAGGGGGTGGAGATAACACTGCCTTGGCTACAAAGAGCTGGCATCAACTTGTTGGGAAACAGGGCAGTCAGATCCACCATTTTCCTTTCCCTTCCAGAAAATCAATGGCAAAGTGAACAATGCATAGGAGATTCTTGAGTCAACCCATTTCTCGCAAGCCCAGTGTTGAATCATTTATTTTGGTCCGCCTTTAGATAATTGGGTACCGATGTAATCTTCCAGCCCTGCTCCATTCTGGAAACGAAAAGTACTATTTAAGAAGGAGCTCATGTTCTAGCAGCATGCTCACTGGAATGCTTTTTAGTGAATACCAACAGTGACTGACTATGCTCTTGGGTGAGTGCTGTTCCCAGGACAAATGCTACCCACCTGGACAGCTCAGGAGGCTGCAGTAGAAGGAATAATGGCAGGCTCCAGAGCAAGGCCTACTTCCTCCCCAGCCTCTTTTGACCCTGTCATCTTCCGTCCCTGTACCTTGCTTCCTTCCTCTCAGACACGAGGGTAATAACAACTCCTTCTCATAGGATTTTCTCCCCCATGATTAAATGAATTGACATTTATAAAGCATTCACAACCATAGTCGCAATTTACATAGTACATATTACCAGTGTGTGCTGTACAGTATTGCAAAATAGAATTTTTAAAGTGTTCTGGCATTGCTCCCTGGAATGAAAAGGGGAACTGCAGGATGTTGGGAGCCAGTTAATGGTTTTACTCCTTGTTGCAGAGTTCCTCATTTCAGAGCATCAGAGTGCGTTGAAATGACTTGAGTGGTGTTTACCTGTTTTTGACCTACACTCGTAGCTCTACTGGCATCATAAACATAATCTCAATTTCTTATTGCCAGTATGATCAGCTAGGACCACAGTGGAATCCCACAAAATAATTGCTCACTGTCTCTGTTCACTGAGAATTATTTTGAATGAGCTGCCTACCCCCATGGGTAGGTATCATTAGAACCCCGTTATCATTAGAACCCCAAAAACTTCATCAGGTAATTTAACCTTTCGTTTGACTTATAGCCAGAGAAGTTATGGTCCAGGTAAATTAAGTGTAGACTTGAAACAAAAACCTAAATCTGTGTGTGACCTCCTTTTGGGCAGTGTTCTTAACATGCTTTTCAGCCTTAAACTTCACTCTGACATTTTGCAATCGCTATTTTTTTTTTTTTTTGAGATTCGGTGAAAATACAAACAGGTTTACTCTAGGCACACCTACACACTCTCTAATACATGTTTACAAAGTATCCAGGAGAGAAGCACGCTGCTGGGTGCGTGGGTAAATATTTTTATATACATTCAGGATAAACAGTGGGTTGAGTCTAAGCTTCAAAATAGGCAGTTACTTCTACCTCCATCCACGTTAAGTTAAACACACAACCTTGCAAGGGCTGACTGCCCCATTCGCAAGTGCCCTCGCATTACGTAACACTGCTTCCGGCGCGGTGACGTGCGACGTGACGTGACGCCGCGTGCGTCACTCACCTAGCAGCAATGTAGAGGGTCCTGTTCATGATCATGATCATCTGGATGTCCAGCCTGTGCCTCTGTGTGGTGTTCCGTCCTGGCTTGTGGCCCACAAACACCGGATACTGTTTTGTATCTGTGAAAAGCGGAGATGGGGGCGAGAGAGGGAGAAGAAAATGAAGCCAAGAATTCACAGCAGGGGGAGAACCCCCAGGGGGCGGGCCCCAGAACAAAACCACTTGGAGGCGGGACCCCCCGGCGCCATCTTCCGCTCCCACGCGGGTCTGGGATTCCAGAAAACGCGGGGATCACAGGGCGCTCCTTCAGGACCAGCGGGTCACGCTTCACGTCCAGAGGACCGTGAGCCTGGAGTTGTCTCGCAAGGGGTCACCGCAGCTGCCTTGTCCCTCTTTCTGGGGGTTCAGCTTGCGAGTGAACCCTTTCCATGAAGGTGTCTTTTCTTCCCCGGTTTTCTTTTCATCTTTTTAGAGTCTAAGCCGGAGAGGCAGTCTGCCAAAGATCTTGTCTCGGGACAAAACTATTTCAAAGCAGCCTTCCCATCAATCACCGCAGAGGCAATGTGGTCTGGAGGCAAAAGCCCTCGTCCAGGAGCCAGGAGAAAAATACAGTCTCCACAGGCGTCCAGTTGGAATAATCCACTATTGAAGGCCGGCCCAGCTAGGTTGGTTGGCATTCGAGGAACTGTGGGAAGCTCACTCTTGAGTTAAGCAATTGGCTAATCTCACAGAAATGGGGTCTTTGGCAGGCCAGGGTCAAACGGAGTGTAGCCAGTTGGGCTCTCTGGAATTTTCCCGGGCTTGGAGAGGCAGTGAGTGCATTTCTCCTCTCCTGTAGCTCTCCTTGACTGAGAATGGGCACTGTGGACTAACAGCTGACCTTTAGAAACACCTACCTCTCAAAAAGCTCTCTGACTTTCAATCTACGATCTCCAGAGCCCTGGCAATCCTCCAGAGAAACGAAGTAGGCAGGAAAGATATGTCAGTTTTTTAAAGGCCAAGAGTTTGGCGGAAAGTTGGGGTAAGGAACGACTTGAACACCACACACAGATGCTCAGATCCCTCCGCGAGGTCCTGAGTCCCTTAGCATCTCACTCCAGAGCCTCGATCTGTCCTCCAGTCAGCTTTGCTATGGGGTTGGCTTGTGCGTCTCCTCCACTGGCTGCATTTTCACTCACCCATGATTGAGGAGCTTGCTAAATCAAGCCATGTTTCTCAGCTATCAGGGGTTGGAGTGCCTACTGAAGTGTGAATTTTCAGAAGCACATTTGGGCTGGGATCTCTTCTGTACTGGAGCACCACATACAGAATGTAGCAAAAGAAATGCTGTTTAAGGTGTGGTACCCTTAGGTAGACTAGGTCACTAAGAATGAGGACGTGGCCTCCACCGCTTGGTCTGCAGTCACTTCCTCTGGTGGTTGCTATGAGCATCTCATCCTCAAGACGCATTATCTCATTTTACAACCCAGAGCATCCAGCTTGGAGCTGGCCGGTTTTGCTAGTGCCACGTATTTGTGTTAAATGCCTTCGGTGTGGTTTGTTCAGAGCTGGTTTGGGGATAGCTGCTGGGAAAATCGCTCTTTGGGGAGAAGGTTCTCTTTCACCTTTCCTGTGATATTTTGGCTTTTGAGAGGAAAAAAGTAGTAAATCAGTTGTTTCATCCCACTCACTTCATCCCACTCACGGGGAGGGCTTCCTCTTTTGAGGAGCAAACTGAATTCTCCACATGCTGCTTCCTACTCCAGAATGCAGGAGAGACTTGTTATAACAGTTAAAATAGGATCTCTGTGAATTAAAAAAAATCAGTCTACCCAAGTCTAGCAGTGATGCAAGTTGTTTTTCAAAAAGTTCATCTTTATCTCTCATACTCCAAAAGAGACTTTGTTATTCTCGTGTAGCTGTAACAACGCCCAGCTAGTAATTACATGTGAAAATGCGCAATACTGGCAATACCCAAATGCTAGAGATTTTCTCCCAAGCTGGTTTTCAGACATGATCTTGGCCTCCGTGTAATGAATGAAACGTTATGGGAGGTACTGAGAAGTTTCTCACATGCTGCCCACATTTGCATCTCCACAGCAACCCCGAATAGAATTAGGAAACCGTTTTCCCATCAGACTTGAATTAGACCTTTGCCTCGGACAAGGCAAAAGACTAGATCTATTTTATTAAAATGTTGGTTTTTATATTTTGCTGGTTCATGCAGGCCGATGTGCCCACAAAGGGAGAGACGAAGGGTGAGGTGATGGATACTCACAGTTGCCATGCGAAATACTGATCGGCTCAGAATCTTCTGGGAAGCCAGCCCCAGCAAAGTGTAGCAGTGTGAAATATAGCAGCAAGGCTTCTGACCTCATAGTAGTTCAGCGGGGAGACTTTATTTCTCTACTTCACCCTGCCAAAGAGCAAAGAAGGAATTTTTTTTTTTCCAAGTCAGCTATATTCAATTCCATAAAGTGAAATGGTCTCGTAGATCAATTGAAGAGAAAGGGGCCTCCCCTCCCTATTTCCCATTGTGAATTCACTGATTATTGTGTTTTATATAAGGAGCTTGTATCCATCACCCTTCACTCCTCCCTGTGCACCTGAGCCCTCTTGCAAAGCTTCTCCCAGACAAGACAGAGATAAAGCCTTAGTTCCTTCGTCCCCAGCCATCCCCAGCCATCTCGAGGTCATTATCAGTGGTTCTGTCACCATTACTAAACTCTGCATTCCAAAGAATGTGGACAACTGAGAAAGCTGCTTTTTTTAAGGTAAATACTTCTTCTTTGCAGCAGGTTACTACTTCAAAGAAGCAGGAAGCTTCCTGCTTCCTCTCTTTCTCCACCCCAACCCCAAATGTTAACTGCAGCCAGCCCAGGATCTTTCAAAAATCTGCAGAGATTGCCAACATTGAAAAACCGAGTGACTTGCAAACTTTTAAAAATAAAAATCAGAGTATCTGCCTCATACTGACCTAAAGAGCATTTTCCCTCTGGTACCTCCCTCCACTCTATAAACACACACACACACATCTGCTCACTTATTTCCATTCATTACCTTATATTGGAGAGTCTCACCCCTGGTGTATATATTCTATAGTGATCTTAGAATCAAATAAAACCACAAATCTAGGTTTAAAAAGAACTATACACTTTCAGGTACTATGAAGAATACTATAGGGGGAATCTGAATTCATATCCTGAAGTGGTATTGTTGATTTTTTTTTTGAGCAGATCTCTGTATATTTTAGTCTCAAATACCACCTCGCAATGAAATAGTAATGAACAGACACGCCAGAAACACAGTTCTGCCCATCTGTGCTTTTTTAAAGATGCTCTTTATATGTAGAAAAATTCTCCTAAATCTTAGAAGTAAAAGCAACCCCATGTGGGGCTTCTGGATACCGTGAAAGAAGACTTGTAATATAGTAAACACCTCATCACTCTCAGGCATATTTCAAATAAGTGTTGAACTGTCGGGGAAATTAATGTAAAATGGGGGTATCTTTTCATCTTTCCACAGTAAGTAAAGCCTTTGAAGTAGCCTGCCAAAGAGCATCTTTTTTGAACAAAGCTATTTTACAGCAGTCCATCAATCATTTAAGATCTGTGCATAGAAAAATCAAACTTAGTAACTTAGATGTCTTTGAAAGTTAATTTGGCAAACAAACTGCTAACTTACGCTTTTTAGAACACCACTTAATATTAGATACCTATGTCTCTCTTCTTCATGCCAAAAAAAGCATTAACAAGTCCCAAGTGTTGCATCACAACTTGTAATTTCACAGACACAGCTGGGTCTTAATCATTTCTTCATTTGGAAAGTGCACATTAATTAATTTGCTTTATCTTGAAAATCAAAGAGGGAGACAGGTTGAGAGAAAGCCCCAGCCATTCCATATCTCTATCTCTGATGCGCAGATTAAAATTAAACTTTAAATGATTGCATGCTCACAAGGGCGATCCATTACCAAGAGACATAAACAAGGTATTTATAGGCAGGTCAGAAGCCACAGTCCCTTCATTCATTTGCCAGATCTCTCTGTGCCGGAGGAGCTGATACCAAGGGGCAAGAACTCTGAGGTACCCCTACTGGCTTCTCATGGCTCCTGTTCAGTAGAACATTAAAGAGAAATCAATAACAAGAGTAAGTAAAGCAAAAAACCAGGCACCTGTCTGTTGCTGTATTGTAGATGAGAGAGTGTGTAGGGAAGCGGAAGTGGCAACCTTTAGGGAGGATTTGTGAGCAGGACTATAGTCTCATCCAGAAGCGAATTGCCTGCGAGAGATGGCCACAAGCAATGGGAGAATAAGGGAGACTCAACAGGCTCATTTTCATCCTCCAGAAGGCCTTCGGGCTGTACGTCTAGTTGTAGAGATCATTTTTCTCAGCATGACAAGTGAGTTTCCACCCTTGTACCACTTCACTCATCTTTGTATAAATGCCCTATATGGCAGTGAGACAACATTCTGTTCCATTATTATATTATTATAACATTATTATAGCTCCCAATTCTAATTTTTTCGGCTTTAAGATTGCATGGACTAGATGCAACATTCTCAATCCCAGAAGCTGGCAGCAAAACATGGAGGAATCTATTATGGAATTCAGTGGCTCGTGTTGACCCCTGTATAGCCAAGGTCACGGCTGAGGCGTGTTATTTAAATATCTCCAGGCTTGCAGCTCTGTGCAAGGACAAATAGCTGTTTCATGCATGTTCCCATCATCATATAGTCAGGTTAGAGACATATGGGTATATCCAATGGGTGCAGATGTCCTGGCTCCTCGGGTGGACCATGCCCCCCGTCCTGGTGAGCCTTGGAAACTTTCTTCAACTGCAGATGTGACTCCTTCCATGAGAGTCTGTATCCCTATCTACTTAACTTTGAGCGGTAACCTTGGAGACGTGTAGACAATACATTTTCTCATTGATATTACTTGCAGAGAGCTCCCTATTCAATCCCGTTATCCTCTCCTGTCCTACAGAACAAGGACTGTCTTTTGCTGTGCAACTTTGCACCAGCCCAAGAGAATAAAAACCAACACTGGGTTTCAAAAATCTGGAACTAGCTGAGATGATGCAATGAAAAAGGTAGTTAAAGTAACTTCCAAAACTCTGGAAAGGGCTTGTAGACATTTGTCCATTTTCCTTTCTGCGATTGTGTTGATACAGGCTCTGGATGACTTAAGGCCGACCCAGCTGCCCCGAAAAGTAGAGAATGGGAAGATTGTCAACATGCGCTTTCCAAACAAAAACATTCACTTCCAAAATCAGCTTATTAGGCCTGATTTCTAATTGTCTCATTTCCATCTAATTGTCTCATTCGCTCACCTTTCTTAGTCAGAAAAAAATAAAGTGGTCTTTTTAAAAAATAGACCATCGCTGTTGTTATAATCCTCTTCTTCCCCCGGTCTATGAAGTTCATGAAAAACCTTAAGAATGTTCTTAGTTTTTAGGAGGGATGTTTAGTGAGTTTACTAGAACTGCTTAATTCCATGTAAAATTAATTATACAACTTTATAGGGAGTTAGGTGGGCAAGATTTGTGTTGACTTTCTATACATTCTGAATCCAAACTAAAATTCTTTTACTGTAATTTCCCTCTAGAGTTTATAGACTAACTTGAGCCCAGAAGTTTGATGCATAAGTGCTCTGTGACTGTTGGCTAAATGGCCCGTGCAGAATGCTGCCTGGCCCGGAAACTAGGCTTTTAGATGTTCCAGATTGAGGAGAGAAAAAAGGTGCTCCCCGGAGGTATGTGTGGAAATCCCATGGCTGTACTCTTGTTGATAATTGTTTTTGAAAATGATCGACTCTTTGATAACTGAGGCTACCCTCCATGCATCCCATATCCTGATCACACAGAGAGTCATTCCGTCAGGAAAGCAGGAGGTAAAGGGGGTATCTGTGGAGATGGAAATGAGGGTGAAGTCAGAGGGGGTCACAAGTTGCCACGTCTTACTTTTGATCAATCAGGTTGAGCTTAAAAAAGATTTCATTTATTTATGGATACAAGAATTGGCGTGTAGGCCAGAGGTGAGGGGTGCAAGGATTCACCAGACACTGGGAAGCAGAACAGGCAGACTGAAACACACTGAGACAGGAGAGGTCTGCTGTGCCATGGGGGTCAGCTCCCTGGCTGGGGATCGAACTCATGCTGCAGTGGTGATAGCATGATAGCGCTGAGATTTAACCCCTGCGCCACGCTGGGAGGCCCAGGTTATTTTCTTAAGAGTCCCTAGGACTGAGAAGTCATAGAAACCTTCCACTTTCCCCACACTGGCCTCATGCTTTGCCCAGCCATTCCCCCACCAGCTGGTATATTTGGCTACACCTGTTTCACAGAGAAGAAAAAAATCTAAATGAATCACCACTGTTTAGGGGGGGAAAAAGTGATTTAATACTCCAGATTTCTGACTTCTTCAAGAAAAGAACCTGAGATCTGCCTTTGCTGGTCCGCAAGCTGCAGCCGACCCTGCAGCAAAGTGGGCACCCCGAATGGCAGAGGACTGTCCTCTCCTTGGAAACACGCGTGGGAAGCCTTACAAACCTGAGTTCAGGAAGTGAACTGGACTTTGGTGATGACACAGGGTGATTTGGTGATGGGAAGCCCACGGGGATTACAACTGAGATGGAAAAAGGCACAAAATGATTAAAAAGAAACTATTATATTATTTAAAAAAATAATAGCTTTATTGATATGATTCACTTATAAAATTTAAAAAAAAAAATCTTGAGTTCAAATTGCTTAAAAGCACCTATGTGAAATCATGCTATGCAGAAAGAGCTGGGAGAGAAAAGCTGGGGTTTGAACCCCTCCATTCCGCTCACTAGCAGGGACTTTGGGCAAGGTGCTGGCACTCGCGAGTGTCAGCCTGCTCACCTGGAGTGTGGTTAGACATGGCTTAGGGCTGGAGGTGAGATAATGTACATTAAAATCCCAGCCCTCAAGTCAGGGGTACTGAAATTTGTCTTTTGATAGCTTTTCTTGGAATTCCGTAAGAAAGTCTCAAGACCCCTCCCCGATGGCACAGCAGGTTAAAACACAGCACCGTGAAGCTGCCATGGCCTCTTGGGTGCGAGTTCGATCCCGGCCCAGGAGCTGAACCACATGGCGGAGCAGAACTGGCCTGTCTTGCCCGCTGCTCCCCTCAGCCGTGTATTTCATCAATCTTCCTGTTCTGCTTCCCACTCTGTCTCTGGTGAATCCTCTCACTGTGCCTGTACCCCAGTTCTGTATGCATAAATAGATAAATCTTTTTTAAAAAAAGTCTCAAGCAGCCTCCAGATTAGCAACTGGCTTCTTACTTTTCAGTGGGAAAAGACGGTCTCTCCTGTCTCCTCCTGCTTCTCCTCTGCGTCCTGGGTAAGCTAA